TAGAAATGTGGGAATTCCTCAAAGTATTTTGGCATATTTCTGAAATTCTCTGTTCCCAATATTTTATGAATTTTCAAAATTTCTGATATTTGAACGAAATTTAGAAAATTTGATAACCTCTTTGGATAGGAACACTTCAGAAAATTACTAGACCATAATCAAACAACAAATAAAGACGAAATTTCTCAATTCAGAAAATTTGATAACCTCTATAAGAATACACAATACCAAAATTTYGGAATTTTCGAATTGGCGATGAACGAGCAAGGAAAAGAGGACGAGAGCGTTGTGAAGRCTGATGCTATGTGATTGTCAATTTAGCGAGAATTCTACAAGTTATGGTAAAAAAGTCAATCTCTGAATGTTTACTAGTCCAGAACTGGACCCTCTTAATCAAACAACAACAAAAAAAAACGAAAATTTCTGAATTAACAAAATTCAGAAAATTTGATAATCTCTATAACTATAAGAATTTTCTGAACTTTGAAAATTCAGAAATTTTTCTGGCTTAGTGAATATATTTTTTCAAAGGTGAGATTTCAGAAATTTCAGATACAAATAGCAAAATTCAGAAATTTCTGAATTCCTTTATCTGATATTTGATATCTGAAAAATATAAATATCTAGAAAAAAGTCCTTTTATCAGTACTAATGCAAAAGTTCAGAATTTTCTAAATATGCATAAACTCCACCTTCGTTGACATACAAAGTCTTTTAAATATGAGGCGGTGTATGTAACAGTTTGTCCAATGTGAATCCTCATGCAATTTTGCAGTCAGTCACCTTCACAGTCTGATTTTAGGAAATAAAGTACCATTTATATAAGAACGCATTCAGCCTGAAAAATGAAAGTTGTTATGGAAAAAGATCAAACATCAACACTACTTTTCATTGCACACACAATATTTCAACCCCAATTGTATGTAACAAAATACAATTTTTTGCTAAAAACATACTTCAGATCATATATTTCCTGAGAAAGCTTATTCTAAGATATTTGATTATGCATGAACTTTATGCTCCTTATTTTAGGAAACTTTTTTTAAGATCACTTACAGGCTGATTTTGCAACCCTTTATATAAGAACCAAATCAGCCTGAATCGCCAAAATGGTGTTCTTATATGCAGGTTTTTACAGTAATGATGTTAAACGTTTTAGGTGACCAATAACGTGGTATCTGATTCAAAAGCTTCAATAATTACTGGAGGAATAAAACCTGCATTAGGGCAAACCTGGTCCCACATTCCTAACACCAGAGTATTCATTCAAAAAGGACAAGTGCCATCAAACGACAAACAAGTCTGCGAAAGAATTGCAACCGTCACAAAATCATCAAGGCAGGTCAGTATTGATAAATGGTATTTTATGAACAGAGAGGAGACATGCAGAAAAAGATATGTGTGGTTTTTAATATAATTATTTTTTATTCTGCGTGAGAAACTTCAATAAATAAATGACAGACCCCCATTAGACGCTGGTCGATAGACTTATTGTTTGAACTTTTAGTACACATGGTAAACACTACATCAGAAGAAATAACTTTTYTCAAGTGCAAAAAGTTGGTCGGGTGCATGAGGCATAAGACTCACAACGTTCACTGTTATCACTGGAAAAAATCGCGCTCCTTATTAAGGTTGTTAAGGTTGTTAATATGATGTAAATTCAATGTATAATAATTACAGGCTGCAAATATCTCGTAAGTGTCCAAAATCATGGAAATATCGTGTAATATTTCCATTAAATTTACATCGTTTGTAAAAAGTGTATAAATGTGATTTAAATATTATGTAAGTGTCCAAATTACGTAAATATTACTTACATCATTTAGTACATCGTTTTTACATCAAATTTACAGCGCGTTTTTTTCCAGTGTATGACTATTGTAATCACTACAAGAAAACAATCTAAAAAACAACAATAACAAAAAAGCAACAACAACATGACAACAATAATTATAGATTAATGATATTGTCTTTGTTTTCAGCCTGTGCAAATATCAACAACATTTTATATACAAACCGCGGGAATATTAGATATCCCACACGTCGCCTCCAAGAATGATTATGTTAAAAATTAGATGAAAAGATCATCATGCGTGTAAAGTAGGTTAAAAAAGCAAAACGCTAAAAGATCTCATTTACTAATAAATAATGTATGTAATAAATACCAATAATATAATTAGCAATGCCAATAGAATTATTAAGTTATTAGTTATCTTGAAGAGAATGCAAATTATTGTAAGTTTTTGTTTTTATCGTGTGTCGCGGAAGTGTTTTTACTTGATGTTGTTCGATTCCCATGACTCGGGTGTTGTGCTTATTTCGTTTTGCATTTCAATATCGTTGTCTCTTATAAACCATTTCTGAGAAAGCAGTTTGCATTGCATTGTGGTATATATTCGGTACAAATATCTTGTGTTCATGCTGCCAAATATGGTGTCGTTTGTATTGAACCTAGACCACAATGCACCATGATTTTATATTTCAGAAAAGGTCTATGGTGTTGCTATACTTTCTTAGTATCTAAATTGTTTTGTGTTGCTATGGTTGATTTTTAGGACGTTGCTATAGCTACTTGTGGAGTTGATATCTTACGCTGTCATTTTTTGCGGTTGTTTCTGGATGATTCTTATTATACAGTGGTGCGGTAGATTTTTTGTGGCGTTGTTACGGTAGATTCTGCTTCACCTCTATGTGGACCTTGTCCAATTCTCGGTCGGGACGCCATATATAATTTGAGTTTCTTTCGTCCTCTCCCTTCTTCGTAGGGTTTTCTGGGTCATTTCGGGCCTTTCAGGGGGAAACGAAGCATTTCTGTCTTCTGTGCTGGATTTTTTTTTATGATGTTAGCATAGTTGTATTCAAGTTTGTATTGGCGTTGCTGAATATACATCTGGAATAGCAGACGATTACATGGAATCACACCGTTCTTCTCGTGTTTATGTTGTATCAAAGTTTACGATTTTTTTCAACGCGAATGGTGTCTGGAATTGTAAATGTTTGAGCGTATCTGACGTTGAATGCATCTTCCATCGCGCGTTAACCTCGCCACCATAAGAAATCCCAGATAGCACATGGAAGATGTGAATGTCACGTGACCGCTTGGACAGTTTGTGACTGATAAGCGACGACAATGAACAAAAAGAACCCCGAAATTTAAACTCGGGATTCCTTTGGAACTCCGAGTAATGAGAGTATAATTTCTGACGATAAAAAGTTTCTGACGTTCCGATCACAGCTTTGCATGCTGTTCATCAGTAATGGCGATGTTTACACTTTTATTCCAGTTTTCTTTTAAACACGTTCTTTAATATATACACAGCATGGCAATGCAGCATTACATGATCAGTTCACTTGGTGACTACGGTACCAAGCCACCATTGTGTAGTCGCAGACGAAGAATTCACACATCGATGCTCTTTATTTACGTATACATAATAACCAAAATTGTCGTCAGCACGATTCCTTACAGGAACTCTCCAACCACATGACCTTCCTATCTCATCGTCCACATACGGATGTCGATCAGGACTTTGATTAAAATGCACCGTGCAATCACTACATGAATGATTTCGTATGTTGACGTATTGGAAATGTTGACAACTGTGCCCGCCACCGTAACTGAAAATATCCAATTTGGATAAAAGCCCTTTTATGTAGTCAACTTCTTGGAAGCCATCTGTGTCATATCTACAAGTTGCCCTCCATAGCTCTGCGTTCTCTTTTACATAAAGCATGTGATTGCGTGACAGTCGGTATTCTTCCCATTGAGGGCTGAATTGGTTAACTGGGAAGTCAGTTAAAAACGGTTTATCTTGAAAGGTTTTTCTGTGTTGAAAAGCAAATGATTCTATGAGGGTCCATGCAATGCCGGGTTCTGACGTTAAGTCACAGTAAGATTTGAGTCTTTGTTCTGACGGAAGTACGATCCTATAGTAGCCAGATGGCTTGCCATGCTTTGCATACTCGGCACAACTCKGTCGGTATATCTGACAAACTCTTCCAATGTATCCTAAAGGACATTTGCATTTGAACTTCCTTTTGACGTCATGACATGTTTCTACGCATGTTCCACCGTTCAGGCAGGTGATAAACCGGCAGCAGCTGTTCCTGCACTTACCACCGCAATCAGCAATAGAATTCTTAAACTTCTGTTTGAGGCCAAAGTACTTGTAGCCTGGTATTGACWSWAATTKTYYTKTSSGWACTGTGYGTCTGTCCTCGTCCATCACCTCACAACGTGTGCCGGACACTTGATAGGACAGACACCTGCAGTCCATGACACAGACACCAAAGCACTGCTGAATATTGGAAACTGTAACATTTTTGTAGGAARATCCWACWAGGGCGTGGTCATTCACGTGGTCGTCTTCATGAAATGATCCTGTATATCGCATCAGGGAACACGTGTTTTGAGTTGCTGTTACCATGGCATTGTGAGTAAACAAGATGACGTAAATCAGCACCATGGCTACGACGAGAAAGACAACAGTAAGATTATTGCATGACCAACTATTTCTATTTTATGAGCGACTGATATTCAAATGTTTCATTCATTTTGAGCATATAATATCCAGCCAGTGTTGATGCTAATAGTCAACAAGAACCACTTCGTGGAACATACCGTGTCCAGGTTACACTAATATATATTTTTACAGCAGCGCCGCGATCGATTTGATAGATTTTGCACATGATCGAACGAGTATATTTTAAAGTTAAAGAAAGAAAAAAATGTTTAGAAGCAGCTCGAGTCGAGAATCGAACCCGAGATCGTCAGTTCAACGCCGCTATTCAAGTATGATCTTGCGTGTAAAATATGTAAAACAAATATCTACAGGAAAAATAATATTTCAGTAAAAAAAGGAGAGAAAAGAGAATCGCTTAGAAGCTAAGTGATCGAGTCGAGAATCTAACCCGCGATCCTAAGTTCGACGCTATTCGAGTACGATAGTGGCTCGAAAATAATTGTTAAACGAATATCTACAGAACAAAATCAACATGACTATAACAACCACATATCAGTCAAAAGAAAGAAAGAAAATGAGTCGACAATCAAGCGAAATTGCGCTAACTTGTGGAATAATAGCAGATTTTCATGTTTTAACCAATGGGATAGATGGATTATATTTATACAATACACAATTAGCACCTTCTTGCATTCCTTTGCCGTTTGCTTCCCTAGTTCTTACTCGGGACATAGCTGATTTCCAAATTTTCATTGAGGTATGTCTTATAATCATGATGTAGCTATAAATTTTTAATGATTTCTTTGTTTTTGTTGACTCGATTCTGTCTTTTGCATTGCATACAATAAGAACACATTGTTAAGAATAAAAAGTAAACTCTTAAATGGAACTAAATCTATATCATTTTTATCAAAAACAAAAACAATTTTCATGGTACAAGAATGCATGAAAACGAGGCTTGGCCTTCACGTTTACGTACGCTTTCTTGTAAAAATGTCAAATGACCATTTTTTCGTCCGTATATTGGTATAAATACTTTTTAGCTTTGGGGCAGGTTGTTCAAAGCCCGCACAGAGTACATGATCATCAACATGTCTTCCCCAATGGCCGTACCACAGCAGCTATTCCTTAAAGCGTTCTTCAAACGTTCTACAGCGTCCGGCTTTTTGAAAATAGCTACAAAGAGGGTACTGAGAAACGAGGTATGAGCCCTGCTCGGTCAAGTTTGCATGTCTTCATGTAGACATGGGTAGACATGGTATTACTTATAATAATACAAAGTAAATTGTCTAACATTGGAAAAAGCTAAAAAGTACTTTTAACTTTCCTATGCGCTCATCAACATTTCTGTATAAACGAATTGAAGAGTAGCGATTTAGTCCTGTCTTTATGATGTAATTAAGGCAAATGTTTGTTGTTGTTTTTTTTAACTGAGAGCAACTAAAGGTTCAAAATGGCAATTACCGTTTTGTAAGATACCTAGCTAAATAGGGATTTTGAAAAAAAAACTTTTTTTATTAGAATATATAACCGATATTTTCCCTCGTGACTTCTTGTGAAAATTCCGTGAAAATTCATATGCGCGAAACGAACTTAGAGGATTCGAAGAAAGTAAATTCCTCGAACTTGAAAGTTCTAAGTTATGCCAAGAATAGGCAGGATGCCACAAGCGTTTTTTAAAAACAAAAGCACCTGCCTGCTTAACCAGAGATCTGAAGAGGAATTTACAAATATTTTTGAGAATTGTTGATCAATCCTTTCTATCACCGTTATTTCAAGTCTGTTCTAAACTATTGAAATATTATAATTAAACTCCATTCCATTAGTATCCGTTCATTATATTATCCATTCTTTATGTGATTTTTGTATTCCTACCCGGAAAATTCCAGCTGCAGGAATTTAGACATTTTTTTTTTGTTTCGCGATGCTTGCATGGGCTGAAGTAGCCTGAGTTTCATCGGCAGCGTTTACTCGTAATTTTAGAGAATAAACCAAATGTACGCAAGCTAGAGCTGAAGAGGACAACTTATCTTTGCTATTGCGGGAGACAAATTACCTGTGGAATATTTTCCCAACTTGCGAAAACTTTGACGAAGCGCAAGTCGGTATGAATTCACGTCCTAGGCATACTTTCTATATCGATTCCAAACATGGCGGAGAAATATTTTAGGCATATAGAAATCAAGTTCTTCTTGCGCTTAAGTCTGATTTCGACGCGAAGAGCTTGTTGATTTTTGAATGGGGCTTGTTCTGAATTTAGTTTTGGCAAAATCATACTGTTTCTAATGCTGCCATACATTAATTAATATGTAATCAACTATTAAGCTTGCTATGAAAACATCGCACTTATCATTGAAGTCAGGCCATTCTTGTAGCAAGGGCAACTTCAAATTAGTTTTGATTATTTATATCGTTAATAGCATTAGTTTTTTATGATATTTGGAGTAAATAATTCCAGTGATGTTTCAAAATTGCCTCATCGAAATTGGAACAATTGCCAAACAGTCCGGGAGTAAAATTGCCAGAGTTGGATCGTCAGCAGTTTACTGACTCGTGAAATAATACAGATAGATAAAAGCACGGTAATGCAAATAGCAAAATGTTTTACTGCCGGCGAACCAACTTGTCTCACAGGAAAGAGTTCGTTGCAAGTAAAAAGTTTTGTTGCAGAAAGTAGAAGATCGTTCTAAATTTTGCAACATAATCTGTCGATGTTTCGCGTTCACAGATTTTTGTCAGTTTCCCAACGGAAAAATCGAAAGCTCTGGTTGGAAATAAATGCGTCTTTGATTTGATTGGCTCAAAAAAAAATTTCATTAGGCAACAGTTTGCATATAAAGTACGACCAAAATTCTGGGTTTTCCGGTATGGTCTCCAGAGCTTTCCATGAGAGAATGTTGCGCGTATTACAACGCAACTTGTCTCGCAGCAAAATGACGTCGCCGATAGTAACTCAAGCAGCATCGCTTTTCAACTTTTCCAACTTTTGAAGCCTTGTAAGACAAGTTGCCCTTCTATCTAGGAGCGGCAGAATGTAATCAGCTCTTTATCTACAAACAAGTAAATGTGAAATTATTTTTTTACACCTTGATTGTAAATACTTAAAAAAAAATCAGAAAAAAGCACAATGTTCCGTTAGTCAGTGTACTTTCTTCGGTCGTGAAGATCGATTTATTTTGATGAATTATTTAAAGATTATTTCTTACCATAAATATTGCTGTTGTTTTCGAAGGGGGCACTAAAAATATTTTTGGCCTAAAGGGTGCGAGGTAAAGATGTGCAATGTTTCATTAATTATTTATTGTTTAAAGTAATGAAAGATCTAGACACTCATAACATTATACTCTCTGAAAGTTTTAGAATGATTTCTCAAAAGAATTAATCAGACTATAGTGAGTTTCTGAATAACAATGTCATTTTTACTGATCAAATTTAAATGAAGTGTTTAGTTAAAGCGAGTGAAACTGGTAATTTTGATAGATTGTACAGATTCTGCGAGTTTTTATATATTTTTAAAAGCTATTGCTGAAAGAAAATTACAGTCAAAAGACATGAAGCGCGCTCCCTCAAAAAACATTCAATTCATTATTCGATTCTTGGTCGATAGAACATTAGATTATATTTGAATTCAAACTTCGAAATTTGATTGGATTATTGATCGGATTTTTATAAAGGCTTCTTCGTATTTCGCTTGGTCTTTTGTAATTTCCACAAGTCGATGCGCAATATGCTGTCTGTTAATTTGGATGGTTGGATCTGTTCCTTCGGTCTCAAAAAGCTAGAAATGCTGTGTTGTTCAGTTCTGTCATTATCAGAATTCGACATTTGAATTTAATTTTGCATTAATCAACTGAAGTTTGAAAACGAAAATGAAAAATCCAATAATGCATTGAATAACGAACTATTTGGGGGGCGCGCTTCATGTCTTTTACTGTAAAGTTACTGAAAGAAAAACAACTTCGCACCTGTTTGTATTGGATCCTGGGCGCTGATTGACGACTCGTGATTTACAGATCTTTTCTCGTGTTCTCCCAACCATCCCGCGCGGTTTATTTCGTCAAGCTATCGCTTATTACTTAAATAATTCGTGTGGAAATTTAAATTTAATAATTTTATGTGGAAATTTAAATTTGTTTGTAGTTACATCGGGCTAGAAGTTGACTCGTTCCAAATACGACTCTCCATGAACTCTTGAAACTTATACTAAATCATAAACGCAGTAGGAAGATGCGAGAAAATTGTGAAATTGAAAATTGTGATTCAAATGTTCTAAGTCTTGATAATTCATGCTCAAGTAGCTCGGCGTAGTGTAAAACTCCAAGTCAAGCTAAGACTAGCCTAAGTTAAGAATGAACCAAATGAGCAAAACTCAGGTTGCAATCGATTCCCGAACACTGCAGAGAAAACACTTCACTGAAATCACAAGGAAATCGCGACTATTTGAGGTTAGCGTTTCTTTTTTTTAAATTTATGAAAAACAGTCAAAATCAATAGCAACGTGAGACCTTCATTTGTGTAGTTATATTGTATTACCTTATTTTCCTGCTATAACTGTGTGAAGTCTTCTAGATAGAAGATACAATTCAACAACGACAAAGCATGAAACTGACTTTTTTCATTAATTCGACTTCGTTTTAAGTGAGCTTAAAAGCTAACCGTGATCCTTTGCACAACTAATCAAGTTCGCCGAAAAGAGTTTTTACGGACTTTACGCCCACCTCAAAACTTGCTCAAGGCAAATTCTCAAGGAGTTCGAGACGATAATAGCGAAACTAACCGTAAAATTCTAGATTCGGTCAATAACCTTCGTTCTGCCGTTAGACCTTTTCTTTTTCAGCAAAACTCTATTAGGGTTAGGGTTAGGGTTAGGGTTCTTGAAATCTTTGTGAAAAGTGACACCCGGGATTGAAAACCTCGTTTTCAAGGGAACTTGAAAAGCCCTTGAAAACAAGAAGAAAAACTCTAAGCGTTATACTTGGAGCGGCAATTGAAAAATCTGAAATTATTATAGCACCTGCTACTGACCACTTTGCACTTTTAAAATTAACATCTCTCGAAGAAAGTCAAAGGGGTCCCTCTTTGTGGAAGTTCAATAATTCGCTGTTACAACATGAGAATATAAAATTGTTTGATTTTAACCTTTTGTTATACAAAGCATATGTGTTTATATGAAAAATGTCACTGAAATACAAGGAAATCGCGACTATTTGAGGTCAGCGGGGTTTTTTTAATTTATGAAAATCAGCCTGATTTTGAGTCAAAATAAATAGAAGCGAGCGACCTCCATATCAGTATAGAGTCATAATGCATGACTTGTTATGAGATAACATTTAATTAATTATCATGCACATTCATATTCATAAACCTTTTCGAATACTCTAGTAAGTTCGCCCAAGCTCAGAATTGTCGGCGAGAGTGTAACGCGTGATGGAAGAAGACATTTAGATTAAACGTCTACAAATACGCTCAAATCCTTTTCAAATCCACACTTTCGGGCCAGACTGAAATATGCCGACGTTTTTTCGAAAGGGCATTTCAAGAGATACCGCGACTGATTTATCGAGAAACTATATATTGTGAAATTTATCTTACTCTTATCTTACTATAAAATTATGTCAAAATCTATCTACTATAAAATATAGAAACACATTTTTGTATAGTTTAGTTGGTAGTTGAAAGCAGTTGTGTAAAGCCTTTTGAATTTCACGATTAACCCGTTGTCTTGATCCAGTACGTGTTCTACTCGAATACATCCCAGTTACCGGTCACGTCTGGTAACTTCAGAAGTCACAATACCTTGTAAAACAAGTCTCAATACCATGTAGCACATTAACTTATTTTCTATTATCACGTTATAATTGTGTGGAACCCTCTAGAACGACATTGAAATTCCACGACAAACAAACTGACGTTTGCAATTGCCCCATTTCGTTATGACGTCACAGTATGTTTTATATCGGAAAACGATGCTCAAAACCAGTGGATATTCGGACCCATTTATATTGTGTCCCAAAGTAGAACTTCAGTGAATCGTGTTTTGATATATATCCATGATGTATAAATGAGTGCTCATCTACATTTTATTTGAATTGTAGTCACTCTGATCCCCTCTGGCGACGCCATAATCCTTATAGCGTTAAGAACAATATAATATGTTTTGATGTGACGTTATAATGAACTAGGGTCATTAATTCAATTTCTTATTAAGTCATCTTAAAAAGTTGACCATGATCCTTTGCGCAACTAGCCAAGTTTTCTGTAAAGAGTTGTTCACAATCACTTCAAAACCTGCTCAAGGTTGATTCTCAAGCAGCTCGAGACGATAACAGCGAAACTAAGAGTAAGAACCTAGTTTTGGTCGATATCCTCCGTTCAGCCGTTTGACGTTATTTATTTATTTATTTATTTATTTATTATTTTTTGCAGCAATTAAGCTAAGTGTTGACATGTGTTCTCCGTCGGGAAAATCTGCTGGTATGTATCATAGCTTTGCACCTAACGCAATAGGTACTAATTAGTATTTCCACATATGAATTGAAGTATAGCTCTGAGTATAGTTTTTTTTTATTCTCGTTCAACATTTGCACTAAGTAGTCATTGGAAGAAACGGATAGAACTAGTGAATCTTGTATCACGGTTCGTGATACTCTCTGAAATCTTTGAGAAGCTCCGGAATTAAAAACTACTTATATCAAGGCGATTGAACAGCCCTTGAAACCATGAAGAAACTATAATTGCAGTTTACTAATGTTGTTTTTCAGTTAAAACGTTTTAAAATGAGAGATTAACGAGATTTTAAAAATATTCTGAGAATGTAGCACAAGTGAAATAAAACCATGTTTTATGGTCTTTATGATTTTTTTCTCAGTACAGTACATCGATCGATTTTGATTTCATAATTATTGATTGAGCTAAATAACTTGAAATTTTCGGTGATGAAACTCAAATTGTTTTTAGATTCTAAATACTTTGGGTTTCAAAGTGACGAAGCAGGTGTGGACAAATTAAAACTTCTGTGAGATTAGTAAATAACTGATGAAACAGAAATGCGAGAATTAAAATAATGCGAAAATTAAAATTGCAATACGCCGTTCAAATTCTGAACCAAATAAACATTTAAAGCCAAAAAATGGAATATAGATGAGATCTTTGTGAAAACCACGGCACTATAAGCTTCACTGGAAAAAATCGATCGCGCGCTTAAAACGTAGTAAATTTGATGTAAATATTATGTAAGTGTCCAAAATTCTGTAAATTTGATGTAAATGGTCTAAGTGATTTCCATCAAATTAACAGAATTTTGGACACTTACATCATATTTACATCAAATTTACAACCTTTAATGCGCGCGATTTTTTCAAGTTTGTGCTGCTGATTTTTATAGTTGTATTTTACAGATAGAAATAGTTGTTTATTAATATTATACTCATTTATAAACGAACATTATTAAGAACGTTTAATAAATATAGATTGAAAAGAACTAGACGTCAGGCACCTCTGAAATACCCAATTAATTTTTTAGAATGAATAATACATTTTAAGTTTCGTAACAATTTTTTTTATCATCACTCGCTCACATCCCCTCACATCGCTCTTGTCTTATTAACTTCACTTTTTTGGACGCTGTGATTGGATGATGATGTTGTTTATGTCAGACCATGTAGAGACATGTGTTGCTTTTTATTGTCCAAAGAACAAAGGACTAATTTCCAAGGATAATTATGCTAATTATATGATAATGATTAATTATGATATTTCTCTTATTTAAAAAAAACTATAAGCAAACAGTGGAAGATCGGAGCAATACAAACATGAAAACCTAACCTTGCACGTATTGATTTCTCGAAATTTCTTCACATGTTATATAATAATAATATCTTATCCCGAGCGCGAGGGCCATACGGGAAGTTATGGCCGAGTTTTATTCCGCTGACTTATGGTTATGGCCAGAGCGCGTAGCGCGAGGGCCATAAAAAGTGAAAAAAAAAACGAGGTTCCATAACTTCCCGTACGGCTCGAGCAAGCGAGGTTAATAAGATATTTATTTTATAGCATTTTCAGAGAAGAATGATAAAATGAATAGAGAATCGGACATAAAAATACGTTTTTGTTCGTACTTAATTTCTTGTCATTCGAAATAGAAGGGGAAAAAAGCCTGAGAAACCTTGATGGCAAAATTTGGATTCATTTTTGACTCKTTTTTATACATTACAACTACAAAAAGAGAGAAAGAGAGCCTTTTTACAGTGTAAGATAAAAAACGTTTTTTCTCGTTTCATCTGGTCCGTGCGGGAAAGTATGGCCCGCTTTTCAGCCAATGAAATCGTTTGTTACATCCACTGGAAAAAATCGCGCGCATTAAAGGTTGTAAATTTGATATAAATATGATGTAAGTGTCCAAAATTCTGTAAATTTAGTAGAAAACATTTACATCAAATTTACAGAATTTTGAACACTTACATCATATTTACATCAAATTTACTACCTTTAAAGCGCGCGATTTTGTCCAGTGATCCGAGCTATATAATAATGTCATATAAGCTTGAATAGCATATTCTCTACATATTACAAGGACAAATGCAGCTGTTCTCTCAGAATCGAACATTTCTTCAAGCCTATAGTTTTTGTTTTGCGTTGAATTATAATAGGATTGTGTTTTTTTTGCGGTATCGATGATGAAGTGGAGGAAATTTTAACTTTTTCAATTGAAATTCCTATCGAAAACAAGCATCCCTCACGAGCTTTTCATATGCTGTTTTGATATAAACTTTAATTATCTCTTTTCTCTCTATGAATTGATAGTTGCAAGATGGCTTATAACTGAATCTTACGAATTGCATTGAAATCTAAAAAGGGATATTTTAAGTCAACCTCTGGTATGGTCAACATCGGCATTCAATGTGGTCGTGTTTTAGATTTTTCATATATGGAAAATGAAGTGACGTCAAATATCTGGCAATCGGTTTCCATCCATCGATTTTAAAAAGGTCGAATCTCCAGCAATAATAGACCATAAAGGGATAATAAAGACTAAGTTTTAGCATATATTACGAATTTTTTTTTATTTCAAAACTTAAACAAAAGCTCGAAAGAATTATAAAATTCTGCTTTTACTATAGTATGGGAGACATGTGCTTATTAATGGTTAAGAATCATATTTTGCTACCGCATCGTCCAAAGTCTCTCGAACCATATGATTTTTCAAATATCATGTATAATTCGCTATTGATTTTCTTTTTCGTCGTAGCCATGGTGCTGATTTACGTCTTCATGTTTACTCCCATTGCCATGGTAACAGCAACTCAAAGCACGTGTTCCCTGATGAGATATACAGGATCATTTCATGAAGACGACCACGTGAATGACCACGCCCTAGTTGGATTTTCCTACAAAAATGTTACAGTTTCCAATATTCAGCAGTGCTTTGGTGTCTGTGTCATGGACTGCAGGTGTCTGTCCTATCAAGTGTCCGGCACACGTTGTGAGGTGATGGACGAGGACAGACRCACAGTWCSSAMARRAMAATTWSWGTCAATACCAGGCTACAAGTACTTTGGCCTCAAACAGAAGTTTAAGAATTCTATTGCTGATTGCGGTGGTAAGTGCAGGAACAGCTGCTGCCGGTTTATCACCTGCCTGAACGGTGGAACATGCGTAGAAACATGTGACAACGTTAAAAGGAAGTTCAAATGCAAATGTCCTTTAGGTTACATTGGGGGATTTTGTCAGATATACCGACCGAGTTGTGCCGAGTATGCAAAGCATGGCAAGCCATCTGGCTACTATAGGATCGTAACTCCGTCAGGACAAAGATTCAAAGCTTACTGTGACTTAACGTCAGAACCTGGCATTGCATGGACCCTCATAGAATCATTTGCTTTTCAACACAGCAAAACCTTTCAAGATAAAACGTTTTTAACTGACTTTCCAGTCAACCAAGACAGCCCTCAATGGGAAAACTTCCGCTTGTCACGCAATCACATGCTTTATGTAAAAGAGAACGCAGAGTTATGGAGGGCAACTTGCAGATATGACATAGATGGCTTCCAAGAGGTTGACTACATAAAAGGGCTTTTATCCAAATTGGATATCTTGACCTACAATGACGAGAGTATATGTGCAGCAGTCCAATACGTCAACATACGGAATCAGTCATGCAGTGATTGCAGGACACATTTTCATCAAAGTCCTACTCGCCATCCCTACGCAGACAGTTACTTGGGGGAAACTATGAATTGTGGATGGAGCGCCAAGACGGGAGCAGTTCTGGACTCTAATATAAATGGCTACGACGACAATTTTGGGTTTTATCTGGTCCACAATCCAAAGCATCGATGTGTGTCTTCGTCGTCGTCGACTACACAATGGTGGCTTGGTAGCGTAATCACCTACTAGTAAAAAAAAAATACACAAATAAATATCAAAGACACTGTCGTCAGAAATTCGACAGAAGCTGCCACCGTAAGGTGGACGTGGATTTTAGATGTAACCCTACTGTTTTTTTCTTAAATTAAACTGGTATTATTCAACAGAAAAGAAACACCACTGATTTTAAATATTAATCACTGCTTTAAAAAACGTGAAACGAAACATAAATCGAAAACAAGTAGTAGAAAAAACATTTATACAGCATGCACTTACCGCACCAACAAATGAATTGTATATTGGATTGGATTCCATGTAAGTACAGAACGTTACAAAATATAACAATTTACTAAGTAGCTTTACGAAGCTACAGAGATTGCATAATAACTCTGAAACAGTAAAACTCATTTTAGAACGACATTTTACCAGCACTGAAATGCACTATCTTCAGTACTCAACGTTTTCTGAAATAGCTGTTACTTGAAGGCATTCGAAGGGCGGATTCCTTTGTCATTCTGATGACACTCGTAAACTTCACTTATTTTACATCTTCATGTGTAATGTTGATGGCTGGTAACGATAAACTAAACTGCATGCATAAAAACAAAAAAATAGCACATACGCATATAGAGCAAACGCAGGAAGACCATGAAATAAAATTAAACTAAATACTAACAAATAACTGCTAATTAGAGACAAATTGTCAGTATCAATGAATCAGAACACAATAAAGATGAATGAAAAATGGACCCATGTGTATTCATCTTTATTGTGTTCTGGTTCATTGATACTGACAAACTGTCTCTAAATAGCCGCTAATAGTTAGTATTTAGTTTTATTTTATTTCATGGTTTTTCTGTGTTTGCTCTATACAATATATAAGTCTTACTAGTCAATAAAGCAACGAAAAACTCTCGGAAGTAAAAACCTTCTCATCAAATTGTAATAACTCACCGAAAAGAGCGATTAAAAACCTGCACATTACAAGCGTACTGTTCCAGTATTGGTTGTTTGGGGGTCTCAAATATATACATCACACTTGTGTAAATTCTCGCGTGATGATTGGATGATTAGAGCATGTCAATAAGAGGACATGTACATTGACACCATCACGTCCCGCGCGCTCAATTGAAAGAAAAGGATTTTCACTAATGTTTAGACTTTTTTAACTAAATGTGGTAAAAAACAAATTGCACACGGTTTTTCGTTGTATTTCCCCTTATTGACACACTCTTTACGTCATGAAAATGTTCGCGAAACCCACGAGCGCAGCAAAAGTTCTTTAGAAGATTTTCAATGTTAATTTCATCTCTTCTTCACCATCCTACGTTTTGTCTTGACGCACAAAGTTAGTTTGTTTTTTTGTTTTTTTTCTTGCTTTTTTAGCTTGTTTGTAGAGATGATGGAAATTAATATCAAAGTCTTGCGATGCCAAAATACTCAATATATCAAAGAGTTTTTCAATGTTATTTTCATTCAAATGAGTCGGCACCGTGACGACTACATCAACTTTCAGAACCGTTTTCAAAGTTGACTTTTAAAAGCGAAAAATTTTCAGGCATGCACTTCAAATTTTACTAGGGAATCTAGACGCATAGCTTCGTGAACTCGGGGCTCTTGTTGATGCAAATCTAAGTAGTGAATCCGCAATATTTTAATATTATATTAATATTTGAATATTAAAATATTCAGCGTAAATTGTTATATCGATAAAGTTTATATACTTTCGTAGTTTCTTTGGTAAGCCTCGTTTACACTTGCGAATTTTACAGCTCCGTGGAGTCCATCTTTCACGTGATAACGAGGTACCAGTCTCTTCTCAAAGTAATTGCCACAGCGAGACCGGGAGGAAGCCAACATGGCGGCTTTGAACAACCTTGTCGCTCTTGCTCGTCGTGTTCAAATCTGCAGTAATAAATTAGGTCGTGTACAATCCCTCTTACATGGGAAACCTTTCCTAAAGACTTTGAGGACGACTCAAGTGGTTCAAGGTAGGTTTTCATGTATTTAAAAATGCTCCTTGAAAGTTACATCAGCTGGAATAGAAACTCGATTCCTTGCAAACAAAATGATCAAATCTTAAAATCTGAAACAGTTGTGTAAAAGGATAAATTTAACGTCGTGAAAAAGTAGATATAAAAACTTACTTTAAAAAATCTATGATGGTTTGCTGTCAATACGTACTAAATGCTTACCATCTATTGTACAAATTAACTTATGTCCTGTGGATTGATTTGAATTTGTTATGCTTCAATAACTTAATCTCAGTCTGTCAATGAGACAGTTTTACTGTTTAGGATTTCATAGATTCAAAATCGCGAACTGAATAATATTAATTAATCACTGATTGTAATGAAGCTGAAATATGACGTGTTATGCTCCTGTGCAAATGATAAGAGAATTTAATTAAACAATATTACTTTTATTATATTTATCTGTGCATAATTGAACTTCCGTTGCCAAGAATTCCCTGATGTAAGCACAATTCTTATCCCTCATACCTTGGCTATTAGTAAAATTCCAGTGCAGGTGGGAATAGCCTCGTTTGTAGGATAAAAAACATAAGAATAACCAAACAATACACATAGATTTGAGACTAAGCCTGCCTATGCTGGAATTTTGCAAATATTCAGTTGCTTTATTAAGAATGTCTGTGCACAGACATTGTTAGCTGGCTTATGACTGGAGTGCGCTTCTTGTTCTAGTTTTTGCAAATATAAAAGAAATATTTTTTATCAGAGAACAAAAAAGTATTTTCACAAAACCTGCTCAAGGAGCTCAGGTCGCAGATCTTATCAAGATCTGTACAAGTTCCTGGCATGATCTTGTCACAAGATTATGCAAGACAAATGAAGGTCTTGCAGTTTTTTTCAGGATCTAGTCAAGATTATTCCCTTTTCTTGCAAAGATCATTGATCTTGTCAAAAACATACAAAGATCAAGGACATCAAGGAGGGTCATGGCACAATCTTAAAAAGATCTTTCAAGTTCAAGCCATGATCTTGTTGTGATCATGACATGGATCTTATCAAGATCAAGACAAGAATTTTAATTAAAATGCATTAGCTGATATATACATGGTTTGAATATATGTCCATACATGTATAAATACAATGTCAGTGTTCTCATGATTGATGGCAAGTCATCTTATCATTTGTATTATTTGTAGGCTCGGCTCCCACACAAATCCTTATGCCAGCCTTATCACCGACAATGGAGGAAGGTACAATAGTCACATGGTTGAAGAACGAGGGTGATGCCGTCAACCCAGGAGATGCATTATGTGAGATTGAGACAGACAAAGCTACCATCACCATGGATACAGAAGAGGAGGGAGTCCTTGCTAAGATTCTCATTCCGTCTGGTACAAGCAAAGTTAAAGTTAATGAACTGATTGCTCTGATTGTTGATGAGGGAGAAGATATTACAAAAGTTGAGATTCCTGTTTCTRGCCATGGTAAGAGTGATACTGGCCACTTGCTCCTGCCAATTTAATTTAAGATGTTACATAACATTTGAGAGAAAGTGAGTGTGTGTGTTGTGTTGTGTGCATGTGAATGAGTAGGGTGTACACTGACTGTAAATAGAATTTTTTTTCCAATCATGTTATATATTTATATTATATTTATCTAGATGTGCTTATAAATATTTTATTTTATAAATATTTTATATTCCTATTGTATTTAATGATTTTATTATCACGACTGAAGATGAATTGCTGCTTTGTGCATATGTWATATTAAATTATTATTATTATTATTATTATCATCATCATCATCATTATTATTATTTTATTATTAAAATCTGCTCTCTAGTGAATAGAATACCATAGCTACGATCTGTATATGATCTTTTTCATACAGGCACACACAGAAAAGTGGAATCTATTTGTTAAATCCAAATCTTAAAATTTCAGTTTTACATTCTGAAGAAGAGGTTAGCACCACATTATCTGAAAGTGAAGTATTTGGGTCACAAGTCTCCTTATCACCGGCTGTAAGATATCTTATAGATACAAACAGCCTTGATGCTAATCTTATTCCAGCTACTGGGCGTGGTGGGCGTATCTTAAAGGGGGATATCCTGAGATATCTGTCAAGTTCTGAAGTAAAGAGAATTGCAAAAACGCCTGTTCAAATGTCAACTGCACCAACACAGCAACCTGTACAGCCTGCTGGAATAGGTGAGTATAACAGAATGTCTGGTAGATTGAGTTGCACTGTTTCCATTGTTTYATTTGTCMGTCCATCCATTATTGCTTTGTTTGATTATTTTTATTCCCATTTTCCATCTATTTTTTTGTTTCTGTTGTTCATTTGCTCTATAACTTCTTGTGCATGACTTTGATTTATAATGTTCATTATTAGCTCCACAACAGTTGCAAACACCATCTCTACCAGGAAAACCATCTCTACCAGGAACACCGTCTGTACTAGGAACACCGCCACTTGTTGGCAGAGCTGAGGATGGTTATATTGATATTCCAAATACTGGAATGCGTTCAGTTATTGCAAAGAGATTGACAGAGTCTAAGACAACTATACCTCACCTGTATGCTTCGTCTGAGTGTTTTATGGATAATTTACAAAATATGAGACAGCGTTTGAAAGAGAAAAATATTAAGGTATTGAAAACATGTTGATACTGATGATGTCATTCATGGAACCACTGATGATGTCATTCATGTTATCACTGATGATGT